GTGTCTCTCTCACATAGATGTTTTTCTCTCTCAACGTCTCTCCCTCTCCCACTCTCTAAAAATCAATGAAAAAATATCAAGTGAGCATTAAAAAAAAGTTAAAAATAAAGTGTTAATTTTTAAAAAATCTAATGTGAAAGATAACTTACTGTGTGTGCTATTATACAACTTTATCAGAAAAATTCATGTCCCCCAAGTCACTTAATTCACTTATTTTGGTCTTTTCTTCGGAAAAACAACTTTCTCACTACAAAGAAATTTTGGTTCCCATTTTGCGTGTGGTCATGTAATAAAAACAAATCTTTTCTACTACTTTCTCCAACTGTTTCTCCCTGACAAATATGGTAATTTGTCAAGATTTCAAGATTCTTTTACAACAAAAAAGCGCTTGTATTTATTGTAATTTCAATACTCAAACATTAGATACCCTATTAAGTACATCATGTTACCAGGCAACTGTGGTTCAGTGGATAGCATTTCTACTTTCTTCCCCAACAGAGATGATATGAACTTGGGCACTCCAGTGTTCACATTATTACTTTCCACAAGAAAGTCAGTTTATTTGATAACTCACATCTTGACTAAATGTAATACATTATGTGGTTTCAAATGGGAGAATCCAATTCCTGTCTAAGAGGAAGACTACAGACTGTTCTTAATAATAAAACAAGGGAGCTACAGTTTCATTAACAAATGAAATGATTTCACAGTTTAATACAGTCATTTCATTGTAAAACAGTACAGAACATAACATTTTATTATAACAAACGAGACATCTAAATTTGCTTCATAATACACCAAGCCCACTTCACTAAAATAAAAATTCTGTGAAAGAAAGAACCAATCATGAATGGAGTAAGCTTGTAGGAAATAGTAGCCCATTCACTAATTGTTCCTCCTTTTGCCCTTCCTTCAGGCCAATTTAAAGTAAGGGAGAGCTAGCTGGAAAGGCCCTTAGAGACTAGTCCAGTGATTTTTTTTTTCTTTTCAAACAGTATGTTTTGGTGCCCTAAGTAGACATCAGGGGTTCAATGAAGTGTTACAAAGAAAAAAATCAGTGTGGTCTTATTTGGCCTGAGGAATCCAATTCTGTGCTTAAGATTTTGCTTAAGACCACTGCTAAAGTCTGAAACACCACTAATAGTCTATACTCCCATTTTCCAAAAGAGGACTCTAAAGCTAAGAGAGGTTAGGCAAGACTGAGATGATAATGTTGGTGGCAAAGCCAGGTATAGATAACCTGAGGTCTCAGGACCAGACCTCAGTGCCTCTCAGGAAAGGTCCAGAAGGGCAAGGGAGAAAAAGCAAGTTTCAAGATGACCTTTCTTCAATTCCATTCTCTACATTGGCCACACCAGGAATCACCAATACTCTTCACTCAGTGTCCATGAGCTATCTTTACTATTGTTCTCCAAAGACCACCAAGCTAGTTTGTGCCTCTCGTGTCGTCAGGACCAGACCTCAGTGCCTCTCAGGAAAGGTCCAGAAGGGCAAGGGAGAAATAGCAAGTTTCAAGATGACCTTTCTTCAATTCCATTCTCTACATTGGCCACACCAGGAATCACCAATACTCTTCACTCAGTGTCCATGAGCTATCTTTACTATTGTTCTCCAAAGACCACCAAGCTAGTTTGTGCCTTTCGTGGTGTCTCCTCCCTTCTTAGAAAATGGCCCTGTGATATGTTATGCCACATGATCTCTCTTGAACAGGTTCTGGTACTTTAAACTGTGTGCAAGAAGTTGTGTCATATTACAGGACCAATTTTTTAAATACACAGAAGTAAGCTTTCTTCACAGAGATGCTAAACAGACCCAGAAGTCTTGAAATGGACTGAAACAGAATTACAGTAACTACTCAAATGAGGTAAAAAGTCAAAAAAAGGAGAGACTGAGTGCCTCTCAAACCAGAACTCTACCCCACCCAGGTCTGTGATGGCTAGATTAGGGGTGTACACTTCTGGTCAGGGACCCACTCCCAGTGCCTCTGAACAGCACTTATATTCAGCTCTTCTTTAGGAATGTGCTTGATACTTTACAAACTGCTCACGGTCCTGGTAGTAAGATACACACTGGCTTATTTGAAGCTCTACAGGATAAACTTTAACAAGATTTTAAACCAATCTTTTCAATCAAATCCACAAAGATTGAGCAGGCCCCAAAACAGTACAACCTAGAAGTTCCCTTCAGATAAAAAATAACATAAAATTACAGAGCACTGTTTCTCAGGAATTATTTAATCCAAACCCCTACTTCTCTTCCAAGAATACTGAAACACATGATTAAAGTAACTTTGCACAGTCACAGAGCTAGTGGGAGAAATTAGATTTTATTTTCATTACTACTTTCCACTCTTCTACAAAGTACTAAATATGATCACTACTCAGCTATCGTCACATGTTCTGGCATCATTTAGATGTAAACTTGTGCAACACATACAAGGCTTAATAAACAAGCACAGATATAAACAGGTCACCTTAACATGACTTAGGAGAAAAAAAAATTCACCCAAGATCACAACATGTCCCACCAAGTTCAAAATGTCTCATAGCACAATCCTAAGAATCAGTTTCCAGCATTTAACCACTGTCCCAAAATAAAATACTGATAGCATTTCTTGCTGGTAATTTAGATATAAATGGTTTTAGGTTCACAGGTTATTAAGCCATATAACTGCGATCTTGCCCTAAACACCAAGGACGGTGTCCAATGTATTTCTAGCCTTTCCTAGGCAAAAGCTACTTATACCTAAATAAGCCAAAAATAATAAAACCTTAGGTGATAATTTGCCAAGTTCAATACATGTCAGAAAACAATGCTTCACTATGTGTGTATAGGTTCTAATCTAGATTCATAAATCCAAATTAGACATGCATTCACACATTGGTATATTTATATATTGTGCGTTTAAAAGCAGTTGTTTGTGTCCCCCAAAATGGTTCTTCTCTGGCAAATCTAATCCAAGTGATTAAAGTGGGGAATTACTGGAACTGACAGAGTAACGATCTTTACTGTGCCTGAGTAACAAACAGCTAGGAGACGCACTTGAAAAATCATGTTAATTCTAAAAATGTATAAAGCATTCTTCTATTTTGACTAATAGTGGTTCTTCTCCCCGTTGTGCCCCGCCCCCCCTCTCCCCCCGCAAGTCTCCTATGGATCTGAACACCATAAATTTGACTCTCTAAGCAAAAGGAGAGCTGTTAACCTTGACATTTTATGATCCCTCTTTAAAAGAGCAACTTGTGTTTTATTTTTTGCTTTTTAATTAAAAAGGTAATTACTACCACCACCACCACCACCACCACCTGAAGTGGACGTGAGAAATTTGTCAGAGACTCCCTAATAATAGCCATAATCCTGGGAGGAAATGTAAAAACTATTTCATTACAAAACCCTGAGTCATTACCCAGTTCACTCAGCAGATTTGGATAAACAGTGGGTAAGTGACATGTCTTATGTGTTCAACCATTCATACCCCCAATGCATGAACATACAATGTTACCAGATTTCGGGTCCAGTGAACTAAACAAGATACAGCAAAATCTTTTTTTTTAAGTTTTTCTGACACAGTGAAGATGCCCATCTGGCAAATAAAGTCTCTAACCTGCCTCCCAGCAACTGTATTTTTGCCCGTCTTCCCCTAATGTCGGTTGCACTACAGTTCGCAGCCAGGTTATGCCAAAAACAAATAAATAAAAGTAACAAAAGAACAGAACTCCTGAAACTGACATCGGCAATCGACATCCATCTCAGCGACTCAAAATTCACACACGCCCGATCGATCGCAGTAGCTTCCAGGACAGCCTGACAGCTCGCCCCTCCATCGATCTTCCCCAGCAACACTTACAAGCAGGAGCAAGAGACATTTCCCCTCCGTCCTAGGACTCACCTTTCTCCACATTAACGTCTAGGATACAGCCCAAGTGTGTGCGGAGGGCTGATTTTAAGCCCATCTTTCCCATCAAACCCACAAAGATTGAGCAGCCTCCCCCCTTCCCCCCCCAAAAAAGTAGAACTAGAAGTCCCCTTCGGTCTCCTTCCCATTCAGAAAGTTACTAGACGCGAAGGGAGAGCTAGGAAGCGGCGGCGATCGTGGGGGGAAGCAAGAGCCGGAGGAACTGCCAGTCAAGAGTTGCTCCCCCAAGGACGAGTCCTCCTTGCACCCCGACCCCCAGGAGCACAGTCCGAGGGACACCCGTGGGGGAGCCGCTGATCTCCTTCCCCGAGGACCCCGCAGGTCGGAAGACAACAATCCGAACCCTCGGGGGAAAGCAGGGAGGGCGAGGAGGGCCGGGGAGACCCGAAGAG